GAACTTCTTCAAAGGTCAGGGACTCCCTTCCATACAAGAGAGTTTCTTTGAAGTGAGCATGTGTTATGGGAAAAGCACACAGCAGCAACAGTGCTTGATCTTCATCATCGATCTTCACATCAATATTTTCAAGATCAAGAATCAGCTTGTTGAACATATCCAACTGCTCAGCCAACACTTTGTCTTCACTCATCTTGAATGAATATAATGCTTGCTTTAGGTAGATTCGATTGACCAGAGATTTAGTCATGTACAAACTTTCAAGTTTCACCCATAATCCTGATGCTGTAGTCTCCTTTGATACCTGTCGAAGAACCTTATCACCAAAGCTTAACAATATTGCGCTGTGGGCTTTCTCGATCATGTCCGTCTTTTCTTTTGCTGTTAACGCAGCGTCTATGGTTGCCTCACCCTTCAACTCTTCCAAACAACCCTGCTGAACCAGTAGGGCTTTCATCTTCAAGCGCCACAAACCGAAGTCATTCACTCCGATGAACTTTTCAATCTTATACTTTTTTGAAGGCATCTTCTCCACGCTCATCGCACCAATTTTTTGTGAATCGGATACCTTGAGACAAAGTATAAACGGTTTCTTAATGATCAAGAAACACACAAGGGTTAGGGTTAATAAAGAAGACAAGGTAAAACAACAAGGATTGGTTATTAAACTGTTATTCTTTGCTTTCTCTTAAAATAAGATTACAAGTATACAAGAATAACAAAATAACATCTCTCTCTTGAAATTAGGATTTTATCTTCCTATTTTTTTCTTATGACAAGATTGAGAAACTAGCATCCTATTTATAAGAAAAATAGCACACTAACCTAATGGGCTTTTTAACAATTACCCATTACAAGATAACTTAAACAATTGGGCTTACAAGCAAGGCTCAATTCAACATGCTAACAATCCTAGCAATATTGACTAATGCATGTTAGAACAAACTTCGACTACAACGCGCATTACTCGCGAACAGACTTCGACCATACTAGAGTTTGATCCAACATCTCACAGTTCCACTACATTTGGTTTAGGCTCAGTGTAGATTTCAACCTCACATTTATAGTTTTCAACATACACAACTAACTCATGTGCATCTTCGTCATCCCTAAAGGGTTTTAGATCATCTTTTAAGCTACAACCATTATGTTTCCACTATATTTTCACAACCTTATATTCAAACTCATAATTCATCCCCTTTATTAAACCACATATCTAAAAGAAGGACCAAAAATCAAGATCTTGTTCACTAAATGCATACACTTACCTACCCTTACACCTTAACACAGAGTCTTTTACAAAACAACCCTTGGTGAAGAATACTACCATAAATAAACCCATGCCTATACCATAACACATATGGTAAATTTTGGTCAAAATTGGTCAAATACAGTCAATGTAACACCCAAAATTCTATTAATTTATTTAATTGATTTTTTTGTTGCTTTTATTTTATTATTTAAGTAATTTAAAATGCTTTTTAATTAATTGGTTGGTGATAGTATGTTCTATATGACTATTTGGAAATTGTGGGTATTTTTGTGAGATTTATAGAGAGTGGTAGGAATTAATTAGAGTTATTAGTTAATTTTAAGTAACTAAAATAATAAAATAAGAGAAATTGTGTGTTGTGGGGTGGACAATAGTAAATTAATGAAATTGGTGGGTTAAGGTGAGAGTTGGTGAAAATTGAGGAAAAGTTGAGAATTAACATATTAATATTAGGTTAAATATATAGAAAAGGTGGGGGAGCTTTTTTATCTGATATGTAAAAATTGAGAAAGTTGGAGAAAAAGAAGCAAAACAAGAGTTTGAGAGAGATGAATAAGCCATAACCAAAGCTTGAAGTTTGTTGCTGGAAATTCAAGTAAGAGGGAAAACTACTTGAATATATGTGTACTGCATGAAGGGTAAAGAGGGATTCTCACCCTCTTTCTAGTTTTTTTCTCTATTGTTATGCTTTATGGGTTTTGATGATGATTATGTGAAATCCATGCTAATTTTCATGTTTGATGTAGAAATTCGTGCTCTGTTACATGCTAAATATTATGCATATTGTGTTGGTACAAATTCTGAATGTGGATGTTGTCATTAATGTGTTTTGATGTTATGAACATACCCTTGAAATTGTGATTAATTGATGAAATTTGGTGATAATTGATGTTTATGTGATTACTTGATTGCTATATAATATGTATATATGGTTTTCTGTGAGAATTGGGGTGTTGGGTTGAAGTTAGAGTTTCGAATGAGTTCCCATGACCAAAATGCAGAAACTGCCTTCTGCAACAGCGTGACAGATGTCACGAGTATGACATACGTCACGAGCGTGACAGGTGTCACGAGCATGACGAGGTTCCAGTCATGCATTAAGGAGGATTCACGGTCGTCACGGGAAGACCGTAATGGCGTCAAGGCGGGATTTTCCTGCCAGTCCTTAGAGGAGTGACATAGGAATGAATGAGAAGGATGGTGAGCTGGTTGACAGACTGTCCATCATGGCAGCTAGAGATCGTCTTTGAGCGTTCGGTTCATATTTTGATGTTGTTTTCTTGTGTGGTCGATATTTGACTGTTGTTTTTGTGTATTTGATGAAGTTAATTTATTAAGATGAATTATTATGATGATGAAATGATAATTGAATTAATTCGCATAATTACAAGAGGTGAATTATGATTGTATTAATGAGTTGTGATGTTGCGAATATAATTATGTGTTGTGAATGTAATTGTATGTATTATAGTGAGGTGTGTAGTTCAAAAGTGGGGACCATTATGAATGTTGTATTGCGTGTTGTTATGGTTAAAAATGGAACCATAATTGTTGTTGTTGTTGTTGTTGCATTACGTAGTATGTCATGCATCATCTTGTGTCATCGTGTTAAAATAGGCGAGTCATAGATTTAGAAGTGGGGACCTGTGGTCGTCCAAGGTTCAGAAGTAGGGACCCGGTTCAAATGAGGAACAATTGTTGAGTGGACGAGATCAATAACAAACCTCTAATGTCTAGATTGGTAGAGAATTTTTTTGAGGTCCCTAGACTCATCGCCTAGTATTAAATGGATTTAAGTATTCACCTTATCAATATCTCAAATCCATTATGGATTCCATTTGACGTCTAAATCCTTTGACAGACTATTGTTCTCTTATTTTGCTCTTAGAGTAAGACATCGATTTATCAATTAAGATTAACTCTTTTAATTACATGATGGGATCCTATGAAAAAACATTGGTGCATGTGTAAACGATGTGCTCTATCTAACCGAGCTATAACCTTTGTGTTGTTGATACATATTTGATAAATAAATTCTTTTTAAGATAAATATTACATTACATGATCCAATCTCTTTGTTATCGTGTTTGTATGCATGAAGTTGAGTTGTGAGTCACAGTGCATACATAAAGGTTATGTGAATTGAATTGTTGTGTTGTTGTGTAACTTGAATGTATGTTGTTGATTGTGTGATTTATATTACTATTGCATTCTTTTACACTTTCAATATATTTGAACGTATTCTCACCCCTTTCTTTCTTATTTGTTTTTTGTTGCTCAGTACATTGTTGTTCAAATACTCAGGATATGTAACTTTTGTTGTGAGTTGGAAGATGACCTTAGAGTTTTTCTTCATTTATTTTATCGTTTATCGCTATTTAGTTGGTTTAATACTCTGATCTGTAACATCGGGGAACGAGGCGTTTTATTTGTTTTGAATTAATCATTGAATTATGTTTACTTCATTAAGTATTTCCGTTGATGAAATAATTGGCGTTTATGTTATTTATTTTGAGTTCTGCTGCGAGTTTTAAAATCATTTGAAAAATATGTATGTTGTGTTTGAGTAACATTTTAAAATATGGATTTTATCATTTTAATTGTGAGTTGGAGTTTTATGCTGTTACAATCAACATATTAAACATATCCTATCCTACAAATTGTATAACATCAAAACAAAAAGTTTTTTTTTCTTTTAGCAAAATAGTAGATTATGATAAATTGTAATTAAATGATAAACCATAAATTAATATTCAATAAAAAAACATATCTTTCAAGTGAAACATGTGGACCAACCTTAACTCTAATGTGAGGGGCCACAAATAACAGCTTGGACCACAAGAACATTTCAATACAAACATTTTAGGACTACAGCCCAAAACAACGGTTTTTTCTTCTCTCAAACGCGAAAATCTTTTATTTGGTGTCACAAAATGCAAACACAACAATAGCAATAGGATACACTTAATGCAACAATAGATAAAGGAGACAAACTGAATGGAGATCTGAACAATGACATGGAGAAGAAAGAATGTTTAGAATGGAGAGAGAAACACTAGGGTTCTTTGATAAAATGTTAACCACCAAATTTTAATCTTAGAAAAACTAAATGTAAAATGTAAATCTATGTCATGTTATCATCTTATCAAATAGTTTCAAACATCGTAATTGATTATTCAACCATTTTCTTAAAGAAAAAATGTCATTCATACGTCTGCATCAATTTCAATTACAAGAAGTAAATGTCAGAGATCAAACATATTCAAAAGAATTTTCTATAAAAAACAACTATAACCGAATTATGAATTATTTTTTGGGATGAAAAACATGTTTAACTCTAAATTATTCTATCATATATTCTCATTACATTATAGTCAGAAACATGCAGTATTAATCTTTAGTTAATACGCAACATATGCTTTTAGCTTGCAAATATTTTTTCTAAGGTTTTGCAAAGTCATATTAAAATGTGCATGACAAGAAACTAAAACTCGTCCTTGTGACTAACTAAATGGAACAAAATGAACAATCCCATAGATAAACACAAGTTCCTAGTGAATGTTAAAGAAGAGAATGAAATCTGTGCATTATAAAATATCGTGAATTATAGTATTTAGAAGTGTTGCAGACCTAATATGTTATTTGTTCACTTTTTATAACTAATAAGTTTTCACTGTTAAATGTCATTTGTTCATGATCACTTTAAGTAACACTAGCTCGGCCACCTTCAACCATCTCTATGTTCTTGGTCAATCTTAGGCAAAACCCGAGATGAGGTTCTTCTAAAAGACGAGTATGAATCAATGACATCGGCTGTTAATGCTGGTTTTAAAGAATTCTTCACAATCTGAAAATGACGGTCAAAAACAACAGTCGCGTCCATGTTTTCCCTTAGAGCTACTATTCCAACTTCTTTACATAATCCCTCTAGTTCAGCACCCGTGAAGAACTCGGTATCTTCTGCTAGTCTTCTGAGATCAACATCACCCCCTAATTGCATCCTACGTGTGTGTACATTAAGTATCTCAACTCGACCCTCCAAATCAGGTGGTGGCACATACAAAATCTATTATTCCATAAAAATAGAATAGTGAGACAAGTGAACTGAGAAATGGTCTCATATAGTATATATAACATGAATAACAAGTATTGCTTGTAAATATGGGTACCTGATCAAATCGTCCGGGACGCATAAGTGCAGCATCAATTGCATAAGGGCGGTTTGTGGCTGCTAAAACAAGGACTCCCTAGAAGGGAAAGGATAAAAAATTAGATTTTGACCATCAATGTTTTGATAAAAGAGAACACAAAGGGTGGGAGGATAAAATGTCCCCCTTATATAAATAAACTTACTTTAGCTTCTTCTAAACCATCCATTTCGGTAAGCAGAGTTGATAAAAGCCTTTCTCCGACTACAGCACTACCACTCGAACTATCACCCCTGCAGTTAAGGAAAACTTAAGAATAATAGTACTTCTTATGCACTAAAGAGTAAAATCACAAGTTTCTGTTACGTAGAGTAGAGACATAAAATTCACCAAAGTGTCGTCAACACACTCTACGACACACTTTTTCTACACAATCTTATTCAGTCAAATAAATGTGGATCTACAAATTCATGTGGGGGAAACTGGAAATGTCACTTAAAAATAAGGTGTTGGAAAAAAATCAGATTATGTTCCCCATGTCAACACAATTGAAAACTGATAATGAAATGCTATCACAATGTGCAAAAGTCCCACAACAACACAATAACTCTTGGGAATATTTTCCATAATGCATGCAAAAGAAGCTTACTAACCGTTTGCCAGCTACTACGTCAGCTTCATCAAAAAATATTATACTTTTTCCAGCAAGCCGTGCTTTACGAAATATTTCCCGAAGCAAACTTTCTCCTTCTCCGACATACATTGAAAATAATTCTGCACCACTAATTCATAATTTGTTACTTCAAAATATTTCCTTAATGTGAGACAACAGTTTCTACAAGAGCTGAATTGCAAAGAAAGAAAGAATAAAAGGAGAAATAAAAATGATAATATGTTACAAGAAAAAGATTAAAATTATTCAAACCTCAAGGAGAAAAATGGAACATTAGCAGCATTTGCAGCAGCTTTAGCAAGAGTAGTTTTGGAACATCCTGGAGGCCCGTGGAGAAGAATTCCACGAACAGGGGTTATTCCAAGTCTTGAAAATGCATCAGGATACTTTATAGGCCACTCAATAGCTTTCTCGAGCTTTGTCTGTCCAAGGAATGATACACTCAGACATTGTTGAATATGATATTTTCAGAGTAAAAATCAAATGCAAAATTTACAAAGGACAACCTTCACGTCTTTCAATCCCCCAATATCTTTCCAAGTCACTTTGGGAACTTCCACAGTAATGCCTCTTGTTATACTTGGTTGAACAAGAGACCTTGCACTCTTCCAATCTTTCATCGTTAAACTGGAATCATTAACATCTTTATTTGCATTTTTGGACCTTTTAATGGCAGATTCGATAGCTTTACGACACAAAGCCTCCAAATCAGCTCCAACATAACCATTGCATGATGCAGCAATGAATTCTAAGTCACGTAAATCCCGAGGGATCTTCTTTGTATACAGCTAAAATAAGTATAACAAAAAAACAACATAAATTTGTGTCGTAACCTAACATATTGACTTTTCTCACTAAACAATCTGTCTTAGAAATTGCATAAACAAATCTGAAAAAAGTTATATTACTACTGGAAAGTAAATCATCCTGACTACTTAATGGATTGAGACCCATTAACGGTTTTGTATGTATACACATGCAACACATACAAACAAAACACACCCTAATTTCTTGCTTGCAGAGGTTCTTATATCATCTCAAGAACCAAACTTTTCTAAAATATTAAGGCATTAATTGAAGGCCTAAAAATAGTGTCTCTCACAGTTACCTCTAGAATTTGAAGGCGCTCCTTTTCATTTGGGACTGTAACTTCAATTTCAACATCAAAACGCCCGTTCCTTCTTAGGGCAGGGTCGATTGCATCCACCCTGTGCATGCAGAAACCAAATATACAAAACTAATTAAAAGTATTAAAAACTCTTACTATTTTTTCTCCTCCTTTTATTTAAAATCCCACAACTTCAATAGTCATTTAAAAGGTAACCTGTTAGTTGATGCAACCACAACTACCCCCGGTGTAGAAGAGGTTGCTTTGTTTGAGTCCATCAAAAAACGAAGTTGGGAAGCAATAAGCCTCCTATATACATATATAAAAATAAATGTCAAGCCTCAAATCCACAATTTTACTTAATAATAGGAAGGCACGGCAAAAATAACAAACAATAGCATTACAAAACAGAAAGCCAGGGCTAATAATTTGATAAATCTAGACAAGAAATAGCCGAATAACACTATGTTGCTGCTGAAAACCGGTCATTGATATCAAAATGATATCAAATACAACCTAAGATAGCAAAAACACAATTGCCGAAGATTATCACACTCACATGTTGGAATATAGCAACATTAAATCCCTAGCAAACAAAAGCAACATAAGGCTTGACAGAGCTTAGAAACCAAGAGCCGAGCTGCAATCTTCTGAATTCAGCTAAACAATACCTGATATAATTCTGATTCATAAACTTGACAGGGTATACCCAACTCTATCCCCGGTAATGTTGACGGCCACTAACTTAGGAAACATCATTCAAATAGTTTAAGGATATTAAGCCTTTATTCGAAAAATTATGTTAATAATATTTTGAGAATATCAATAAGCAGATTTTTCATCTTAGAGAATATACAAATAAACCAGTCTTGGTTTCTCATTAATCATATAATTGTATTTGAATGTTCATCTTTTATATAGTTGAAATAAAAAATGAGGCAGACAGGTAACCATAGAATCACTTAAGTTGTATTTCAACTAAATAAAAGAATGAACATTCAAATACAATTATATGATTAATGAGAAACCAAGAAAAAATATTTTATGAACGTAACATACGAATTATAACAGTCAATAGACATTTCTTGTGCCTCGACCAGGGGATTTTCTAAAATGATAGTCATTATCCTATTATTTTCTCTACTTTCATTAATTTGTGATTAAAACAGAATTAACCAAAATTAAAAAAATGAGATAAAAGAAGTAAAAACTACAAAAACATACACAAAAGTATCATTTTCAGCATAAGTCATTAATTGTCCCATACCTGGAATCTCTGCGAGGACAAAGTACATCTATTTCATCTATAAAGATAACAGATGACTTGCCCAAGGCTGCGTGAGAAGATGCCTCTGAAAAAGCCTCGCGGAGATTTCTCTCACTTTCACCAACATGTGCGCTATGAATGGTGTTTGGGCTACAAAACAAACCGGCAAATAATTACAAATAATTTATTCAAGCCAAAGCCATAGACGTTAGAACACAATATCCACAATACTGGAATTCAAATTACAAGTACCTTATATTCGTCAAAAGTGCCCCACATTCTTCAACAACTGCCCGTACCAAACTCGTCTGCAATCACATTCACATACAATATCTCATAAATATGGCATAACATAACCCATCAGCAAGTTTTTCTAAATCTAAACTCTATAACCAATGAAATGAACTGAGTAATAACAGTGAAATAAGCATTAAAAAAAAAATTAACAGTAACAACAATAAAATACCTTTCCGGTGCCAGGTGAACCATGTAATAAAACACCTCTTCCAAACTGAAAGCAAAACAAAATTAATAATCATAACAATTAAGAATTTGAAACTACAATCCGAAGTAATTAAAAGAAATAATCAAAGGAAAAACAGACTTTAACTCCAAGTCTCTTTGCATCACAAGGTAAGAGACGCCAAGGAAATGTAATGAGATCTCTGAGGGTTTGAATAGCTTCCGCGTTTCCACCAATCACTTCCTCGGCTCTCCGATGTCTGGTGCTCGTGCTTTTAATTTCGCTGGGCATTGTAGCAAAGGCGGATGGTGAGAGGCTAGTTGGATGGAGTGACGGGAGGAGGCGGCGCGACCCGAAGAAATGAAGAGCAGAGTGGATTGGTTTTATAGAGACAAATCCGCCGCAGGAAACGACGGAGAGTGGTGGTGGCGGCGGCGGCTGTAATGGAAGATGGAGAAGGGATGAGGGAGTGATGAGAGGAGAGGGAAGAAACCTAAATGGAGCAAACCGAATCTCAGCCGTTGAAGTTAATTTAGCCACGTGCCGCGCATCGGTTCAAGTACAAAAACAGAAACTGGATGTTATGAACTGTAGCAGGGAGTGATGTTAAAACGCACGCATTTTTTAAATTCTTTTTAAATAATTGAAAAATAAAGTCACTATATTTGGCATTGGAATAGCATTTCTTCTTCTATTTGACTTTGGCTTAATCATTCACTTTCAATTATCTAATCTTATTGACTCTCTTCACTTCTAAATTCAACAATGATAGCGACTTAAGCTTAGAAATCAAGATCGAATAATAACAAACTCAGTTGAATATGCAATCGAAGGATCTAGAATTTCTATTATTGTTTTCTAAAAAAGCTTTGCTAATTCAAATTTGTGCTTACGAAAGTTGAAAAAGATAACGGAGTGTTATAGAACCTTAGGTCAAATGGTTGCAACTGTTTTCTAAGATGTGGATCCTTCTGATGTATGTCATCGTGAAGTTTTCACTGGAGAAACTTTTAGAGATCTTGCACAAAAAATCTTGAAAAAGGACGTATCGAGTGAGGACATTTCAGTTGAGTTCAAACTTAGAAATCAAGATCAGATGATAACAGACTCAGTTGAATATGCAATTGAAGGATCTAAAATTTCTATTATTGTTTTCTCAAAAATTATGCTAATTCAAATTTATGCTTGCGAGAGTTGGAAAAGATAATGGAGTGTTATAGAATCTTAGATCAAATGGTTGTCAGTGTTTTCTATGATGTGGATCCTTTTGATGTATGTCATGGTGAAGTTTTCGCTAGAGAAACTTTTAGAGATCTTGCACAAAATATCTTGAAAAAGGACGTATCGAGTGAGGACATTTCAGTTGAGTTCAAGCTTAGAAATCAAGATCAGATGATAACAAACTCAGTTGAATATACAATTGAATGATCTAGAATTTCTATTATTGTTTTCTTTAAAAGTTATGCTAATTTGAATTTGTGCTTGCGAGAGTTGGAAAAGATAATGGAGTGTTATAAAACCTTAGGTCAAATGGTTGCGACTGTTTTCTATGATCTGGATCCTTCTGATGTATGTCATCATGAAGTTTTCACTAGAGAAATATTTAGAGATCTTGCACAAAAAATCTTTAAAAGGGACGTATCGAGTGAGGACATTTCAGTTGAGTTCAAGCTTAGAAATCAAGATCAGATTATAACAAACTCAGTTGAATATGCAATTGTAGGATCTAAAATTTCTATTATTGTTTTTTAAAAAAGTTATGCTAATTCAAATTTGTGCTTGCAAGAGTTGGAAAAGATAATGGAGTGTTATAGAACCTTAGGTCAAATGGTTGCGACTGTTTTCTATGATGTGGATCCTTTTGATGTATGTCATCATGAAGTTTTCACTAGAGAAACTTTTAGAGATCTTGCACAAAAAATCTTGAAAAAGGACATATCGAGTGAGGACATTTCAGTTGAGTTCAAGCTTAGAAATCAAGATCAGATGATAACAAATTCAGTTGAATATGCAATTGAAGGATCTAGAATTTCTATTATTGTTTTCTTCAAAAATTATGCTAATTTAAATTTGTGCTTGCGAGAGTTGAAAAAGATAATGGAGCATTATAGAACCTTAGGTCAAATGGTTGCAACTGTTTTCTATGATGTGGATCCTTCTGATGTATTTCATCATGAAGTTTTCATTGGAGAAACTTTTAGAGATCTTGCACAAAAAATCTTGAAAAAGAACGTATCGAGTGAGGACATTTCAGTTGAGTTTGATTTTCATGCAATTTTTTATAGGTAAATAAGTATCATATCACAGAGTCGAACTTACGCCCTGCATTTGATGTTCTTGCACGACTATCAACTGAGTTGGTTTAACGAGCCATGTAATCTAATTTTTAGTGTGAATATTGACTCTTCTATTCATAAGATTTCCAATTATTTGTTCACCAGGCTATGTCACATGACATATTTAACACAACCTTACACATAATCTATTTGTTTCACTTTATGCATTAAATAGAAAATCTTGGATACTTTCTTTATGTGTTCATATATTGAGTCAGTTAGCAATGTTCACACATTTCATCAATTCATTAAATATTTGGACTCATCAAAACTTAAGATTTTGTATGCCTTAAACTTAACATTTACCCTTTTTTAGATGGCAGGCACCACGAGACTTGATGATTTTCGCCATAATTAAGAACTAAAAATTTAAGAAATACTTGTTTAATGATTTTCAAAATACTCCCCTCTTAACAAATGTTTTGGATGATTTTGACACATTTTAGTTTTAAAAGTTGTAGCAAGGTTAAAACATTTATAAGAGTTGGAATATGTTGTTGTTGCTTCTATTGAACAAACAATCCCTTGATGATTTACCATAAACTAGTTAACAGTTTTTCTCAATGTTTTAACACATTTTAGTGAGAAAGTGTCATAGAAAAAAGGTATAAGAATAATAAATTTTCTTGAAGTTGTTATAACTTGTTCTACAAAAGAGTTAAAGTCAATAAGACAGATGTCAATTTAGTTATGCAAAACAAATATCGACTTTGAGGGAATTGGATTCTTTCCAATTTTTTCTCACATTTTCTCTCTCATGAGCAATTTCAAACGATTGGATTAATTCAACAGTTAAAAGACAAAAAAAAATCATTTTAAAAAGAGAAAAAAATATATCACTTTTATTATATTTATTTAAAATTTGCACTTAATAATTATTTTAATAATAAAATTGAGAATTTTATTGTACAAAGACTAAATAAAAAATATTTTACACTTTTTCGAAAGATATTATTTTCTTATATTATTCTATATCAATATATATGTTTTGGTGACCGTATACAAAAAGAGAGAGTGAATTTTGAGACAAAATCCCGAAATATTAACATTTAATTCACCTTTTAATATATTTTTCAACCTCCAAAATCATTCTTTTGAGATAAAAAAAATTGATCAAAATTAAAAAAATTAAAAAGAAATCACATGGTGGCAGAAAATCACACAAAAATATTTTCTTGTATTATAAAAAAAATATTTTTTCCTAATGCGTAGTTACCAAAGTTGGTTAATGTCAGAGAGAGTTCCTTTAATAAGTTAGCAGGGATGTTATCGGGTTCAGTATGTTCCCAATGCTTTGGCGTTTGTTTCTCGCCGATTGCTTTGAATCCGTGCGGTGTCGTGGGCCGTCAGAGCTCTACCATAGAGAAATGCAACAATGGCAACATGATCTGCGCCATATATGCTTCAATTCGGTAATTTTGTACTTTCAATTCAAATTAATCTCTGCCATTTATTTCCAGTGAAGAGGCAAATTATGAAAGCTACAAATTTGCTTTTGTCATCATATTCATAAATATTAGCCAAATTGCTTCCATTTTATGTATTTGAATACAAGCAAGAAGGAGAATGTTGCTAGAATTCAAAAGCAACTATTTTTTTATTCTTTTAAAAGTTGAAAATGTTGGTGCAAAGGTGAATAAATGATGAACAGAGGAAATATTCTATTAAGAATGACGGCTACAAAACATGATAAAAGTTACAATGATTGTCACCCTATTTATAAGCTAAAACTAGGGTTACTAGAATAAGATAAAATACTAAAATACCCTCTAACAAACTTAGGGGCTAAGAAAATAGTACAACTAAATAAATATGAATTACTATTAATATTCTAATACCATCCCTTAATTCATATTCCATCAAAACTTGTAACACCAATTCCATCCCTTAGTCTAAGAAATTGATCAGTCTTGATAGCTTTCGTCAGAACATCTGCCAACTGCTTCTGAGTGCTGCAGTGTACAACTTCTAACACTCCACTCTGAACTTGATGTCTCAGAAAATGATACTTGGTCTCAATATGCTTGCTTCTCCCATGCAACACTGGGTTTCTGGCAAGATTGATTGCAGACTTGTTGTCAATCATCAACTTCAGAGGTTTGTCTACTTTAATCTTCAGATCCTGCAACAGATTCAGAATCCACACAGCTTGGCATGCAGTAACAGCACCTGCAATGTATTCAGCTTCACAGGTTGACAACGCCACAACAGGTTGCTTCTTGGAACACCAAGAAATGGAACCTCCCAGAAATTTGAACAAGTACTCATATGTACTTCTTCTGTCAACTCTGTCTCCACACCAATCAGAGTCTGAATAACTCAGAAGTTCTGACTCATTATTTCCTCCAGAGGGAAATAACACTCCATACTTCAGAGTTCCTTTGATATACCTCAGAATCCTGACAGCAGCTTGGTAATGGGACCACTTAGGTTTACTCATGAACCTACTAACCATCCCAACTGAGTAGCATATATCAGGTCTGGTATTGCACAGATACCTCAGAGAACCAACCAACTGTTTGAAGGTTGTAGCGTCCACATCCTTTCCTTCAGAGTCTGAATCCAGTTTCTGATTTGTATCAGAAGGTGTGACAGCCATCTTACAATTCTTCAGATCAAATCTCTTCAGAAGTTCTAATTCATACTTGAGCTGATGCAAAATGATACCTTTCTCAGAGTATCTGAACTCCATCCCTAGAAAGTATGTCATTTTGCCTAGATCAGTCATTTCAAATTCATTCATCAGAACTTTCTTGAACTTGGCTATCTCCTGTTCAGAACTTCCAGTCAGCAGTATATCATCAACATATAAACATACCAGAGTCATATTGCCTTCAGAAGTATGCTGAACATAGACACCGTACTCCATCTCACATTTCTGAAAGCCTTGCTTCTTGAAAAATGAATCAATCTTCTAATTCCAAGCTCTGGGCGCTTGTTTCAATCCATATAGAGCTTTGTATAATCTGTACACCATCCCTTCCTGATTCTTTTTCACAAATCTAGGAGGTTGTGACACGTAAACTTCTTCTTCTAATGGACTGTTCAGAAATGCAGATTTTACATCTAAATGCATCAGAGGCCAATTCCTGTTAGCAGCTATTGCAATCACCATTCTGATTGTTTCATGTCTTGCTACAAGTGCAAACACTTCAGAGTAATCCAGTCCAGGTTTTTGTAGAAATCCTCTGGCTACCAACCTTGCTTTATGTTTGCCAATTGAGCCATCTGGCTTTAACTTCTGCTTGAAAACCCATCTAACGCTGATGGCTTTCTTGTCTTTTGGAAGTTCTGTCAACTTCCAAGTCTTGTTTCTCTCTATAGCATCAAGTTCTTCTTTCATGGCCTTCAGCCAGAGCTTCTGCTTAAGAGCCTCTTCTGTACTTATGGGTTCAGAGTCTACTAACATGGCACACTGAATAACTTCTCCTTCAGAGTCTACTTCAGTGTCTTGCAGCTTGTCAAATTCTGTAAATCTTCTGGGAACACTTCTGATTCTTTGTGGTCTCTGAACTTGTTCAGAGTCTTGAGCTTCAGAGTTTCCAGCTTCAGATGGTTGAATTCCTCTAGAGCTTTGACCATCTTCAAGATCTGGCATATTTTCATAGTCTTGGCCATCTTCAGAGTCTGAATTTCCACCAGAATCTGGATTACCATCAGAGTCTGGATCATCAGAGTCACCTTCATCTTCTGAGTCTTCTCCAGAGTCAGAATCACTATCAGAGTCAGAATCAACGTCAGAGTTTACTTCAACTTCAGAAATTCTTAACTCTGACCTTTCTTTAGAAGTTCTAACATCAGAATCAGATTGAGACTTATCCCAATTCCAAACTTCTGATTCCTTCACAATCACATCTCTACTGAATTCAATTTTATTGGTTTCTGGACAATAGAGCTTGTATGCACCTGTACTGTGGTACCCTATCAGAATCATCACTTTGCTTCTATCATCCAGCTTCTGTCTTCTGCCTTCTGGAACATGTTTATAGCAAACAGAACCAAACACCTTCAGATGACTAACACTTTGCTTGTTTCCAGTCCACTTCTGCATAGGAACTGTTTCCTTCAACTTCTTCGTAGGACATCTGTTGAGTACATACGTTGCAGTGGCAACAGCTTCTCCCCAGAGCTTATGAGGAAACTTCTTCTCCTTTAGCATGCTTCTCACCATATCAAGCAAAGTACGGTTTCTTCTTTCAGCAAGACCATTGTGTTGAGGGGTATAAGGAGCAGTAACCTCATGCTCAATTCCATTCTCCTCACAGAACTTCTGGAACTCTTTGGAGTTATACTCACCTCCACCATCAGTTCTAAGAATCTTTAACTTCTGACCACTCTGATTCTCAGCCTTCATTCTGAACTTCTTGAATTCATCAAACACCTCATGTTTAAATTTAATAAGGGATACCCATGTCATTCTTGTGAATTCATCAACAAACAACACAAAGTACTTATTCCCTCCAATTGATGCTACTGGAAATGGACCACACACATCAGAATGTACAACTCCCAAGGCATGTTTTGCTCTTGGAGCAGCTTCTGACGCAAATGGCAATCGTGGTTGTTTTCCTTCCATGCAAACTTTGCATGATTTTTCAGGCTTCTTAATTTCAGGAATTCCATGTACCAACTTATTTGAATTCAGATGTTTTAGGCTTCTGAAATTCAAATGACCAAATCTTCTGTGCCACAGCTCACTCTCCTTCTCAACACATGTTGCACTAAGACATTCTGAGTCTGCAGTTCTGACATTCACCTTGAATGTTCTATTCCTTCCCTGTTCTGACTCCATAATCAACTTCTGATTGTAGTCATACAGCTTCAGAAGATTGTCCTTCATGGTAACTGAAAAACCTTTCTCAATTAATTGTCCCACACTCATCAGATTGCTTCTGATGCCAGGTACATACCACACGTTCTGAATCAATGCTGTTTTCCCATTGTTCAGAGTCACTCTGACATTTCCCATACCTTCTGCATTAAGATATTTGTCATCAGCACATCTGATCTTTGTTCTCTTTTCAGAGTCAAAGTCAACCAACCATTTCTTGTTTCCAGTAAGATGATTTGAACAGGCAGTGTCCATATACCACCAATCTGTCAGATCATCAGATTCATAGGCCATCAATAGCACAGATTCGTCATCAGAACTTCTGGCTATATTTGCTTCTTCTGATTTTCTCTCCTTGTTTGACCAACAATCTCTAGCAAAGTGACCAAACTTCTTACAATAGTAACATTGGATCTTCTTCTTGTCATACTTCTCTTTTCCCTTCTGAGCATTCTTTTGTCTATCAGAGGTTGAGCTTTCTGACTTCTGACCACCATCATATCTTCTCTTGGCTTCTGACTACTTCTGATACCTCCTATCAGAAGTTGCTTTCAGAGCCTGCTGCTCTACTTCCCTTTCAGAAGTTCTCTCAGTCAAACGCAACTCTTGCGCTTCTAAACTGCTTTGCAGCTCTTCAATTCTCATGGTACTCAGATCTTTGGAATGTTCTATTGCTACCACAATGTAATCAAATTGAGAGGTAAGGGATCTCAATACCTTCTCCATGATTGTTTCTTCAGAAAGAGTTTCTCTACACGCCTTCATCTCATTAGTGATCAGAATCACTCTGGAGATGTATTCAGAAACTTTCTCATTATTCTTCATGTTGAGATTCTCATATTGCTTTCTCAAGGACTGAAGCTTCACCTTCTTCACTGATGCGTCACCACCATAACATCTAACCAGTGTGTCCCACGCAGCCTTTGTTGTCGTTGAATCTGCAATCTTCTCAAACACATTTACATCAACACATTGATGAATAAAGAATAATGCTTTCTGATCCTTTTTCCTTACTTCCTTCTGCGCGTTTTTCTGTTCATCCGTTGCATCTGCTGCTACTGAAACATAACCATCAGTGACAAGATCTAAAACATCTTGAGCACCAAACAGTACACGCATTTGGATCATCCAACGATTCCAGTTTTTACCGTCAAATACTGGAAGCTTGGTGTTCATGTTGCCGTTTCCGTTCATCTTCACCTTGCACAATACACTCAGATTTCTCACACAGTGTTTCCCAACCCACAGAATAAAATTCTGATCAGATTTTGTTCAAGATTCAACACGAATCTAAGAATCAAAATCAAACACACAAGACCTCACGTTCACTTGTGTTTCCCGTGTTTCCCAATGAATCTGAACCGGAGCTCTAGATATCAATTGTTGGTGCAAAGGTGAATAAATGATGAACAGAGGAAATATTCTATTAAGAATGACAGCTACAAAACATGATAAAAGTTACAATGATTGTCACCCTATTTATAAGCTAAAACTAGGGATACTAGAATAAGATAAAATATTAAAATACCCTCTGACAAACTTAGGGGCTAAGAAAATAGTACAACTAAATAAATATGAATTACTATTAATATTCTAATAGAAATCACAGTCAATGTATTTTGTATTTTGCAGTGGAGTAACAAGTGTTTTTTATTCTTCTTCTTTTTGTTTAACAAGACTTTGACTTATAGTATGCAGATAAAAAGAGTTGGCTCCATCAGTAAACAACTCAATCATTCAGTTTCACTCACCTATTCTTCATGGCTAATTCCAATTCTGAATCAATATCTACCGATGATACCAATCCAAGCTGGATCTATGATGTGTTTTTGAGTTTCTGTGACAAGGACGCTGCTAAATCTTTTGCATACAATCTTCGTACTGCTCTCCCGGTGGCTGAAATTGTTGTTTTCAGGGATGACGACAAGCTTAGAAATCAAGATCAGATGATAACACCCTCAGTTCTGCATGCAATTGAAAGGTCTAGAATTTCTATTGTTGTTTTCTCAAAAAATTATACTGATTCAACTTGGTGTCTGCAAGAGTTGGACAAAATAATGGAGTGTTACCGAACTAGAGATCAGATGGTTGTGCCTGTGTTCCACGATGGTGAAGGTATGCTTGAAGAAGCTTTTAACGATCTTGCACTAAGAATCTTGATGAAAGATGAATCCATGTGCGAAGGTTTTAAAATTTCAGGATTTGATGTGGATTCCAGGTAATTTTGAATGCACGGCTTTTCTCCTTTTTTGTCTTTCTTATGTTGAAATTTCCAATTAGTTATCTTTCCTCATCCATTGATTAAGAGTGTACCATAAACAACCAAAAAATTTCATGTTGTCAAATTTAGGGACTTTTTCAAATGATATTCATAAGGTATCATATAATTAAGCATACTAAACAGTGTTCGATTAAATAGATAGCAAGCTGCCCTCACTTTCTTCTCACATCCCACTCTCTCTGTTCTCTTCTATTTTTTTAATTTGTTTTACTATCTCTGCGTGACTGCTCTCCACCCTTTTCTTCCTCCGGTATGTATAAGTGAGGGCATCTTGTCCCTTCTACCTAATCTTTCAATTTATAATTCCCTAAGTACAGTTGACACTACAAAAATAAAGATATCTACAAAACAACGACTTAGGTGCAACAAAGATAGATACAAAACTAGGGACCAAATAGTGAACGGCGATGAATCGGGAAATTGATAGATACAAAACTATCCCTGGCCATGCAAGAAAGTGAGGGCAAAACTATCGGGAAATTTGGCCATGCAAGAAAGAAATCATTTTTCCCGATTCAACTGTATCCATAGATTTTTGTTTTGTTTTGTAAATATCAGAAAGAAGTCGTTGCTGTAGAGAAAATTTTCCCGACTTAGTTGTTTGGTCCCTAATTTGGTCCCTTCTTCGTACAGGTTGTTAAGATGTATCTAGGCCTGATTCATCATTCCCAAACAATTTAGGTGCAACTTGTCTTTTTTTGATTTGTACACATGTCATACAATGGCTGTATACTTGTTTATGTACTTACTCATGGGTTCATATTTTGTAGGAACGAAAGTGAGGATATCAAGAAAGTAGTAGAACATGTTGCTAGTTTGCTTGACAAAACAGATTTATTCGTTGCTGACCATCCGGTGGGGGTAGATTCTCGTGTTCAAGATGTTATTCAACTAATGAACAGTCAAGAATCAAAAGACCCTGTACTAATTGGAATATGGGGCATGGGAGGGATTGGCAAAACGACAATTGCAAAAGCTGTTTATAATAGAATTCGTCACAATTATGAGGCAAATAGCTTCCTCCTAAATGTCTCAAAAATTTGGGAACAAGATAATGGCAAAGTTTCTCTACAACAACAACTTCTTTCTGATATCTATAAAACAAAAAAAATAACGATGGATACAATTGAATCAGACAAATTGATATTACAAGAAAAACTTTGCCAAAAGAAGATATTTCTGGTGCTTGATAATGTGATGGAATTGGACCAATTGAATGCTCTGTGCAGAAGTCCCAAATGCTTTGGTCAAGGAAGTAAAATAATCATCACAACAAGAGATCTACAACTACTTCGTGCTCATTGCGTTAGCCATGTATATCAAATAAGTACAATGAACCAATACGAATCTCTTCAACTCTTTAGTTGGCATGCCTTCAAGGAACCAAGTCCTATGGATGGTTTTGCTCATCTTTCTAGAGATATTATTGAGTACTCCGGGGCACTGCCGCTAGTTCTTCAAGTCATCGGGTCCTTTTTGTTGACTAGGCGAAGCATAACAGAGTGGAAGAGTGTATTAGAGAAACTAAAACGCATTCCCCATGACAATATATTTGAGAAGCTGAAAATAAGTTATGATGGTTTAAGGGATACTGATATGAAAGAGATATTCCTTGATATTGCTCTTTTCTTTATTGGGGTGGACCAGAAAGCAGCAACTAAAATATTGAAAGACTCTGGGCATTTTGTAGATACTGGAATGAGTGTCCTTGTACAACAAAACCTTGTAACTGTTGATCGGAAGAACAAGATTGGAATGCATGATTTGCTACAAGACTTAGCAAGTGAGATCGTAAGGAGAAAGTCAGAGAGTGTGGCTAAGGTAAGATATGGTTTTTCTAGGTTCTAGTTGATATTTTGATTTTATAGCAAATAATATTTATTTTGGAGGGAAGCAAAGTGAACATTAATTAGTTTTTCTGAAGTTTGTTAGATTGTGAATAAAAATTAAATGTACCAAAATGTTAGTCTTAAAACTGATTGTTGATGTCAATAGCATAACCAGATTTTTAGCCACCATACAAGTTTTGATAATTTACTTTTTTTTTTTTTTTAATTTCAGGAAATGACCTACGACGTGTTCTTAAGTTTTAGAGGGAAAGACTGTCGGGCAAAATTCATTTCACATCTCTATACCTCCCTTCAAAATGCAGGGATTTATAGTTTCATAGACGAGGATGGGATTCGACGAGGAGATCAGATCTCATTCTCAATTTTGAAAGCAATAGGACAGTCTAGAATCCATATTGTTGTTTTGTCTAGTAACTATGCTAATTCAAGATGGTGTATGCTAGAGTTGGAGCATATCATGGATGTCAGAAGCAATAGTGTGGTGGTTATACCAGTGTTCTATGAGGTAGATCCCTCAGAAGTACGACACCAAGCTGGCAAGTTCGGAGAAGGTTTTAAAAATCTCATATCAAGATTCTCAGTGGATGAATATAGGAAGATGAATTGGAAAGAATCTCTCCTTAAAGTTGGTGGCACATCAGGAGTTGTCGTCATAAATTCCAGGTAATTTCATTTATTTATTTTTAGTATTGTCAGTTCATGATCTTTGACTTCCCGGCGTCTTAATTATTGTTGTATATGTATATCTCTGTATATCTTGAAATTTTCTATATATTATACTTCACAAAGTAACTATATATCTCTATAAGTAATATTTTTATAGATAAATGTCAAATGTTATTTATCCAAATAAAATATACATCAAGTCAATGTAAACAACACAACTATACAAATAAAATATATCAGGCATTTGCAGTTCTACACTTCTACCGGGATATCCAGCAGGTATATCAGGCATTTACAGTCACCATTTAACATTCTGATGATTCCACAAAAGATGGAGAAAGCAATATAGCCTCACATTTAATTCAAAAGGCCTCCGTGTAGAGGAGAACCCAATTTCTTTCTGAAAATTTTTTACTTCTGTTGAAAAATATTTTATTTTTCTATTTAGTTGTTTCCGATTATTGTAATTTATTTTCTTTTATTCTCTATTAAAAAAAAATTAAGGATTTTTATTGTATTCTTATTATATAAATAAGTCTTTGCCTGAGGAATAAAATTACAACAACTTTTACCTATTTCTTCTAATATGGTATCGATCCGCTTTTTTATCCGATCCAATTCACATACCCGTATAACCTCTTATGGCGAATAACAACAACAAGTGGCCTTTCCCATCGCAGACCTACACCGGATTCAACCATGGCGAACAAACGCAACCTAAGTCGGGCGTCAGCCGCGAAAACAGTGGTGGTCGCGGAGATGGCGAACAAGAGGAACCGTCAGTTGTCACAAACAGTGGCAGTAATGACGATAACAATGAAGAGATTAACAACATTGTTTTTGACAGTAATGACGACATCAATGGAAACAAGAACATTGTCTTTGGTGATAGTTATTCCAACATAGGCGGTAATGATCAAGAGGGTTCCTCATACTCCCTCAAGGTCAATATCCCTAAAATGAATGGGCTATGTTGGATAGCAAAGGAAAACTTGGTTTCTTAACAGGAGCAGTAGCTGAACCGGCATCAGGAGATTCTCGTTACAAACAATGGAAATCTGAAAACTCTTTGATTATTGCGTGGCTGGTAAGCTCCATGGAAACTAGAACAGGTAAACCTTACATGTTTTTGCCTTCCGCGAGGGATGTGTGGGAAGCTATTAAGGAAACATACTCTGATATTCAAAACTCCTCCCAAATTTTTAGTTTAAAATCAAAGTTATGGCATGCGAAACAAGGTGACAGGAGTGTAACTCTTTATTACAATGAGCTGTTGACATTGTGACAAGAGTTGGATCTCTGTTATGATGACAATTGAAGGTGTACAGAAGATAGTGTTTTGTTTCTCAAGAGGCAAGAAAATGATCGTGTATTCATGTTTCTCGTTGGGCTCAATAAATACCTTGATGAGGTAAGAGGTAGAGTTTTAGGAAAAATACCATTGCCAACTCTTCGTGAAACTTTTGCAGAAATAAGAAGGGAGGAGGCACGACAAGGAATTATGATGGGCAAGACACCACGAAGCTCTGAATCTGAAGGTTCAGCCCTGGCTACTAGAAACCTTGACGAGGGAAGAAGGTCAGATAAAGTATTTTGGTGTGATCACTGCAAGCGCGAATGGCATACACGTGAAACCTGTTGGAAGTTCAAAGGCAAGCCTCCGAACTGGAAAAAGAAAGGTGGTCGTGCATTTCAGGCTAGTAATTCTGATCAAGGGCAACAATCCCTTACAACTCAGCTTCCACTTATTACGGAACAACTAGACAGATTGTACAAACTCCTCGAGTCTCCAACCCCTTCTTGCTTTATAGCAACAAAAGGTAATTCTGCATTTCTTAGTGTCAGTCCCAGTCATACTTGGATAGTAGACTCAGGTGCCTCTGATCACATGACAGGTGAATCTACTTTGTTCTCTTCATATAATCTATGTGCAGTTAATCAAAAAATAAAAATTGCAGATGACTCAACCCTACAAAACCGGTTGGTAGAGTGGGGATTACCCCCACTTATAAAGACATGTTCATGCCATATATTGTCCGATGTGGGACTTTTAACACAAACAAATATCCAAGTTTTTAAAAGTGATAATGACAGAATATTTTAACACTATCCTGGATGATTTGTTTCTAAAAATTGGGATTGTACATCAAAGTTCATGTCCTAATACTCAACAAAATAGAGTGGCCGAAAGGAAATATAGACATTTATTGGAGGTTGCTAGAGCTCTACTTTTTTCGAATAAAGTACCAAATTATTTGTGAGGCAAAGCTGTTTTAACAACTGCGTATTTAATTAACAGAATGCCTTCCAATGTTCTCAATTATCAAACTCCAATTAATGTCTTCAAAGAATGTTTTCTTAGTACTCGTGTTTTAACTGATTTGACTTGAAAAATCTTTGGTTGCACAACCTTTGTTTATGAACATAAAAATGTTGAAAAACTTGAGCCACATGCTATAAAATGTGTCTTTGTTGGACACTCCCTAACCTAAAAAGGATATAAATGTTTTGATCCAAAAAACATGAAAATGTTTGTCACTATGGATGTTATGTCTTTTGAAAATAAACTTTTCTTTGATGACACTCATCTTCAAGGGGGGAGATAACGGAAGACTCGTTCCAAATTGAGGACATGAGTTTTTTGAAAAATTTATCTTTGCCTGTACCACAATATTCTGAGGCTTTTACATCTGCACTAACAGAAAATGACCATGATTTTGTATTTGATCCTACTCTTGTTATGAGTAAAGAGTCTTGTGAATCCGAGCCTACATTTTCTCTTGTAGAAAACAATAAGAATCCTGAAAACGATGATAATGATGATCTAATTGAAATGCCACAAAATAATGAGTCACTTCAAGAAAACAAATTTGAATTAGGAAACAGGACTTAGAAAGGGAAGATTTTTAAGAAAAAGCACCATAAACGAATGGACGAGTCTACATCTCAACACTGCCAGAAATCTGAACTAGGGAATGATCAACCTCATAACAAAAGGAAAGGTAAGTCTATCTCTGTTTCTGAGAGTCGTATTTTGTATCCTGATATAGATGATCCAGTTGCCATTAGAAAACTTGTTAGATCTTGCACTAAACACCCCATATCCAATGTTATTTCATATTCAAATTTGTTTTCATCTATGTGTGCCTTTACCTCAAAATTGTCTAGTGTAGAAATTTCAAAAAGTGTACAGGTTGCTCTAGAAATCCCAAAGTGGAAGGAAGCTGTACTTGAGGAGATGAAAGCACTTGAAAAGAACAAAACTTGGAGTGTTACGTCGCTACCAGATGGCAAGAAGACAGTTGGATGCAAATGGGTGTTTACTGTGAAGTATAATTCAGATGGATTAATTGAAAGGTACAAGGCTCGCTTGGTGGTTAAAGGCTTCACTCAAACCTATGGTATACACTACTCAGAGACATTTGCTCCTGTTGCAAAATTGAACACTGTAAGAATTTTTTTATCTCTTGCTACTAACCCGGATTGGTCCCTACATCAGTTAGATGTTAAGAATTCCTTTTTTAATGGTGATCTAGAAGAAGAAGAAGTATGTATGGACATTCCTCCTGGTTTTGAAAACAAATTTGGATCAAATGTGTTAGTTCTATGGTTGGCAGCAATTTTGGTAAAACTTGGTGTTATCACAAGATGTCCTATAGGATGTCTTGACATATGATCTTAACATTCTGCAGGTGGTTATTCTTGATGTTGCAGGGTTTAGCTCATGATGTCAAGTATGATGTCCTGACATATGTGTACAGAACATTCAGTCTGAATGTTATGGTTAGTCTGTTGGGTTTTTGTGCAATCTTGTGTGCTTTTAAAGTAAGAGATTTTGCTGGTACAAATCAACGTGGAGATCTTCTTTAAACAAAAGAGCTTCTGATAGATAATTCATGGAGAACTGTGGAATCTTTTGTTCTATTTTCATGCAGAAAATCTTGAGAAGATTTGGAGTTTGATTTGATTTGATCAAATCTGATTTGGTTCTATTTTTATGATGTTAATTATGAAAAGATTTGAAGAAATTATCTGATTTGATTTTATCAAATCAGAGGTAGTTTTTGCTAAAGCCCAAGCCCGTTCAAAGTGTTTCTATATAAAGACTTTACAATCCTATTTTGATGTAAAGAGAAACTAGGGTTGTGAGTGTGCATTGCTTAAGGAATAAGGTTTCTACCTTCTTCTGTTATTGTTAATTGTGAGTCATTCATCACCTTGATGTTGGACTGAGGCTTTAAGTTGTAAGTTGTTCACTCTAAGCTTTTAAGCACGAATGCGTTGTTTTTGATTAAAGCTTTTAAGTAAGATCAAGTATTGTCCTTGAAGAGTGTTTTCTACGTTTTAATAATCTGTTTTTATCACTGCTGTGATTGATGGGGAGTGACAGGTGTCTCTTATCTAAGAGTGTTTTAGATAGAAATTGCAAGGGTAGAGATTAGGTGCGAAGATTGTAAACTAGAGAGAGTTTGCTGAGAATCTTCAAACTAATTCTATTTAGTAAATTTCCTTCCTGGCTTGGTAGCCCCAGACGTAGGTGTGTTTGCACCGAACTGGGTTAACAATTGCTTGTGTCTCTTTACAACTGTTAACTGCTTTTTATCTTGTTCATATATTGGTAATTGTTTAGATATTAGTGTCGTGACATCTCTTTCGACATCTCATATCTGATACCAGAATTTCAAAATGTATGCAAACTAAATAAGTCTTTGTATGGATTAAAGCAGTCTCCCAGACCTTGGTTTGAAAAATTCACCCAGTCCTTGAAGAATCAAGGGTACATCCAAGGACAAGCTGACCACACCTCGTTCACAAAATTCTCCAACGATGGGAAAGTTGTTGTTTTGATTGTTCATGAGACATTTTCTAAGCTAGGAGGTTGCTCGGTCAACGAATGATATTGTGGTTTCACAGCATAAATACATTCTAGACTTATTGAAAGAAACAGGAATGAGTGGATGTCGTCCTGCAGATAGCCCTATAGATCCAAATGCTAAACTTTGAAGAGAAGGTAATGTTCTTGTTAATACTGGAAGACATCAGAGATTGGTTGAGAAATTGATTTATTTGTCACACACCTGACCTGATATTGCTTTCTCAGTCGATGTAGTGAATCAGTTTATGCATTCTCCTTTCAAGGAACATCTTGAGGCAGTCTATAGGATACTGAGATATCTGAAGGGAAATCTTGGAAAAAGATTATTTTTCAAGAAGACTAGTGAAAGGAATGTGTCTATCTTCACTGATGCTAATTGGGCAGGTTCAGTCACCGATAGAAGATTAACCTCTGGATATTGTACCTATGTTTGGGGTAATCTTGTGACACGGAGGAGCAAGAAACAAGGTGTTGTAGCAAGGAGTATGTAGCAAGGAGTAGTGCAGAAGCCGAGTTTAGAGCTATGTCTCAAGGTATTTGTGAAGGATTATGGATCCTTAGAGTCCTAGAAGAATTTAAAATGAAAGTTGAGCTTCCATTGAAATTGTACTCTGATAGTAAAGCTGCTATTAGCATAGCTCATTATCTAGTTCAACATGACAAAACCAAGCATATTGAGATTAATCGACACTTCATAAAGGAGAAGTTAGATGCTGGAATCATATGTCTACCTTTCGTGATTTCGAGTCAGCAAACTGCCGATATCCTGATCAAAAGTTTAGCAAGATCTACCTTTGAGCATTTGATAGACAAGTTGAGCATGATAGATATCTATGCACTAACTTGAGGGGGTATTGGAAAATATTTTATTTCCCTATTTAATTGTTTCCGTTTATTGTCATTTGTTTTTATTCTCCATTAAAAAGAGAATTAAGTATTTTTATTGTATTATCATTATATAAACCATAAATTTTACCTATACTTTTACCTAATTTTTTCAATATAAATCATAAATTTGAAACTAGTTTTGGATTTCAGAGTAGTAGGTATCCTTCCGAGTATCCCGACTTGTTTTGTTGTGGGCAGAAACATGAAGGATTTCCAATTCCTCCTTTCTTACAATTAATTTTTTTTCTTGGAATAACCTTACTTAGGATTAATTAGTCAGACATGATCAAAGAGTTTCCAGACTACCAAAACCTATAGGCTCTATCTGCCTTCGGAAGTTCCAGGATCTCTTCGTTAAGAAAATCAAATTTTCCCTTGCTGGTCTAAAATTAGTAGAACATTTTGGGACCATAGTATGTAATTTGAGTCATTCATACGCTAAACATTTATCTATAATGAGATATTTTGACCGCCACCATCCAAGACTGAATGGACCAGCACACCACCATAAATAGAAATCCAAAATAAAACAAAATAAGTACAGAACCAAGTAATAACTATTACCTCTTTTCTATTACGAGTCGTTTTGACACTTTCAAATGTATTAAGAAACATAATTTATATGAAAAATCTCCAAGAGGAGACAGTTTCAAGCCTAAGTTTTTCTGAGTTTGGCACAATTATCTTTTTTTTCACTAAAAGTTTCTCCGATTCTTTCATACGTGTTAAGAATTTCACATCGAACAATACTCTTAACACATCGAACAATATAGGGCATGAACATGTGTTTATAAGTGGGGGCAATCCTTACCTTGCCAACAGATTTTATAGGATTGAGTTAGGCCCAATCACATTTCTCAACATGGTATCAAAGCTTATCGACTATTGATCGAACGAGCCTCGTTTCCTATTGAGCCACCCACCAATTATTTCCACGCTTCGGTTGTCCAGTCCTGAGCGTGAGGGGGTGTGTTAAGATTCCACATCGGACAATATAAGTGGAGGCAATCCTCACTCTACCATCCGATTTTGTAGGATTGAGTTAGGTTCAACCACATTTCTTAACAATACACATACATGTTGTATAATGGTTATGATTATATAATAATAGCTCATTCACTTACTATTGGGTTCATATTTTGTAGGAATGAAAGTGAGGATATCAGGAAAGTAGTAAATGATGTTACCAAGTTACTAGACAGAACAGACTTATTCATTGCGGAACATCCCGTGGGGGTTGAATCTCGTGTACAAGATGTTATTCAACTACTAAACAGCCAACAATCAGAAGATTCTCTACTGATTGGGATATGGGGAATGGGAGGAATTGGCAAAACAACCATTGCTAAAGCGGCTTATAATAAAATTCGTCACGATTATGAGGCGAAAAGCTTCCTCCTAAATGTCAGGGAATTTTGGGAAAAAGATAATGGCCAAATTTCTCTACAGCAACGACTTCTTTCTGATATTTACAAAACAACGAAAATAAAGATAGATACAGTTGAATCGGGAAAAATGATATTACAAGAAAGACTTAGGCAGAAGCGGATATTTCTTGTGCTGGACGATGTGAATAAACTGGACCAATTGAATGCTTTGTGTGGAAGTCACAAATGGTTTGGTCAAGGAAGTAGAATAATCATCACTACAAGAGACAATGATTTACTTCACGGGCTTAAGGTGGACCATGTATATAGAATGAAAACAATGAACGACGATGAGTCTCTTCAACTTTTTAGTTGGCATGCCTTTAAGGAACCAAGCCCTATTAATGGTTTTGCTGACCTTTCTAGAGATTTTATTAAGTACTCTGGGGGATTGCCGCTAGCTCTTCAAGTCATTGGTTCCTTCTTAATGACCAAGAGAAGAAAAATAGAATGGAAGAGTGTATTGGAGAAACTCAAACTCATTCCCAATGAGGAAGTTTTAGAAAAACTTAGAATAAGTTTTGACGGTTTAAGTGATTATGATATGAAAGAAATATTTCTTGATATTGCTTTTTTCTTTATTGGGATGGACCAAGGAGATGTGACTAAAATATTGGAAGACTGTGGGCATTATGCAGGTATTGGAATAAGTGTTCTTGTTCAAAGAAGTCTTGTAACTGTTGATACGAAGAACAGGATTGGAATGCATGACTTGCTACAAGACATGGGAAGAGAGATCGTCAATAAGAAATCAAGAGAGGGAAACCAGGATCCTAGTAGGTTATGGCGTTACGAGGATGTGAAATCTGTGTTGTCAAAGGATACTGTAAGATCTTATGTGATTTTTAGTTTCTAGAGTTGTTATGTTGTGTATTGTTCCTTACTATATATAGTCATCATAAAGACACAGGAACATAGATAAGGTAAATAGGTATTTTAGTCTTTAAAATTTTAAACGTAGGTCAATCTACTCCCTCAAGTTTAAGAAATAGCATATCAGTCCCTTAAAAAAGAATATCAATCAATTTAGTTCTTCCAATCAAAATATTTTTATAAAACATCTATCAAAGCAGACAAAACATATACATTTGAATTAATAGTATTTTTCTGCATTAAAAGAATATGATGCAAAATTTCAAATACTTGACTAAATTGATTGATAGCATTTTTAAATTTTAAACTTGAGGACTAAATTGATCAACTGTTGCAATTTTAGGGACTAAAAGTGCCTATTTACTCAACATAGATCATATCTTTATCCAAACTGTATTTTATTTTCATTTTCAATTTGATTGACAGAGAACTTTAGATGTTAAGGGACTGACTTTAAAGATGTCAAGAATGGACTCCACAACTTATTTGGACTCTAAAACATTTGAGAAGATGGATAAGCTTAAATTACTTCAACTTGCTGGTGTAGAATTTAATGGAGATTACAAATATATTTCAAGAGAACTTAGATGGCTTTGTTGGCATGGGTTTCCTTTAAAATATACACCAGCAGACTTTCATCAAGAACGTTTAGTTTCTGTTGATTTAAAATATTCCAATCTGGAACGAGTATGGAAGAAGTCTCAGGTACAAGTCTATTTTTCTTCATGATCTAGTTTTGAGAGTTACTGTTTAATCTTCTTTTTAGAAGTAACAAACTTGCACTCAGTGTTTCATAGCATATCCACTTACTTACTTTTCTTATGATATAGTCTTCTTTTAATAATTTCTCTTATCAATTTTATTTGTTTCTCTCTATTGTTTAAGGTTTCTTCTCTTATATACGTCTTCAAATTTGAATTTCTTACAGTTTCTGAAGGGGCTGAAATTTCTTAATCTTAGTCATTCTCATAACTTGAGACAAACTCCAGACTTTTCAAACTTGCCAAATCTTGAAAAGTTGATACTCAAAGATTGTCCAAGTTTGTCCTCACTTTCTCCTACTATAGGACATCTCAAGAAAATTCTTTATATAAATTTGAAAGATTGTACAGGCCTCCGTGAACTTCCAAGAAGCATCTATAAATTGAAGTCGTTAAAAACTCTCATTGTGTCTGGATGTACAAAAATTGACAAGTTGGAAGAGGATATAGAACAGATGACATCTTTGATCACCCTGGTTGCGGATAACACTGCTCTAACAAGAGTACCGTTTGCAGTAGTAAGATCAAAAAGCATTGGATATATTTCCTTGTGTGGATTCAAAGGATCCTCGCGTAATGTATTTCCTTTAATTATTCAGTCTTGGATGTCTCCGACAAACGGTATCTTGTCCCTAATTCAAACATTTGCAGGCACATCATCTCTTGAATTCTTAGATAGCTTCTATGGTCTGCCATCTATTGTTAAAGAACTTCCGAATCTTCAACGTCTTTTGTTGAAATGCGAGTCAGACACTCAACTAAATCAAACTCTAGCAAGTATTCTCGATAACTTACATACCCAAAGTTGTGAGGAATTGGAAGCAATGCAAAACAAACCACAATCCTCAAATTTCGTGACTTCGGAATCAACTCATTATTTCAGTCAAGTTCAAATTTCAAGCTCACAAAAATCCTTGACATCACTTTTGATTCAGATGGGAATGAACTGCCATGTCACTAATACTCTTAGAGAAAACATTTTACAGGTTCTCTCTTTCTCCCTCCCATATACTATTTAAGATTATAACTAGAAGAACCAACATAGCTAAATAATTTTTCTTTTTTCACATATGTGGAATGTACAGAAATTGCCTCCTAATGGATCTGGTTTACTCCCCGGTGATAATCACCCTGATTGGCTAGCCTTCAATGAAAATGGTTCTTGTGTAACTTTTGAAGTACCTCAAGTGGATGAGCGTAGTTTAAAAACAATTATGTGCATTGTCTATTCTTCTTCTCCAGATGATATTACATCAGAAGCAGTAGAAGGCCTTAAAGTTTTGGTGGTGATAAATTGCACAAAGAAGACCATTCAGCTGTATAAGAGAGACGCATTATTAGCCTCCTTTGATGAAGAGGAGTGGCAGAAAGTAGTGTCAAGTACAGAACCAGGTGACATAATGAAAGTTATTGTTGTTTTTGGAAGCAAAATCGTTGTGAAGAAGACAACAGTTTATCTTATCTATGATGAACCAATTGACGAAAAGACAAAGCACAGCCCTGAGTCAGATAAGAATATTATTGTTTCTCGTGGTGATGGAAATGTAAGTAACAAAAGTCTCCTTGTTCATATGATTTTTTATGAATCTAATTGGACTATTATGTTGTTATTAATTCCCTCTTTCTCTTTGTCTGAGTTTAGATATTTGGTAGACTCTTCTTCAGACTTCCTTCCCTTGTTCAAGCCGCTCTGTTTACACGACCTTTCTGGTTCTGTTTGGCTGTTATGCTGGTTTGTGGACTCGCTTTTATTCTAACAAACGCAGAAGTTTAAGGTATGAACCTATCTATTTTTCTTCTGAACAGTTCTTTTCTGTTGGAATTATTGGTTGTGTTAAATTATAAAGTGAAACCTTGTACTCATGAAGATTTTGTGTTGTTAATATTTGAGATACTTTCTGCTATTGACTATTTTTCTATGAAACAGGAAACGGCTTCCCAAAGCTTTCAAGGTTTCTGCAATCCAATATTAAGGGAGGGAATTTTTTTTGGGTGATGTACAACAAGATTTTAAATTGTTGTCATCTTGGTTAATATTGCTAACTAGTTGTATTTTAAGTTGTGAGATTATTGGATTGAACTTTAGTTCTGTCGACTGGGATGTTGTCGATAAGAATAGTATTCAGATTTCGATAGAGGACAAACATGAAGTCGAAGATGGTTCGCATGCTGATGTCTAAGTGTTACACACTGGAGTCAAAGTTAGTTCTAGTATTTTTTGTCGAATTGGGCCTTGTGTTAAGGATCCAATTGTTTAGTTAACTTGTAATGTAAGTTCGCTAGTTAGTCTATAAATAGGCTAGATCTCTCAGGTTGTTGAGAGCGGTCAATTGTGTTATTCATTTGTAAAGCCTAAATGAGAAAGTGAATAGAAAACAGTTGCCCAAAAATCCTTTCTCCTTCTTTCTTCTTTAATCTTTCTTCTCTCTCTTTGTTCTAACCGTTTCATTGTTCACTCAAGAAACTCTGTTTCTCAATCAAGAATTTGTTAATTGGCATCTTTGTCACAACAAACTAGTGCGGTGAGCGTGGGTGGAGAAAATGTCGTCAACAAAGTTTGAAATTGAGAAGTTCACCGGAGTTAATGATTTTGGTTTATGGCGCTTGAAGATGCGAGCCCTTCTTTTTCAACAAGGTTTGCTAGAAGCGTCAAAGGGAGGAGATGCCATGGATGCTGCATTGACGGAGAAGGATAAGACAACGATGATCGAGAATGCCCATAATGTAATTGTTTTAAGTCTTGATGATAAGGTTCTCAGGCAGGTTTCGAAGAAGACGACGCAACTGGTATTTGGCTGAAACTCGAAGGATTGTATATGATAAAATTCTTGGTGAATCGTTTGTACTTGAAGCAAGCTTTGTATTCATTCAAGATGAATGAAGATAAAGCGTTGACGGAGCAGTTGAATACGTTCAGCAATCCGATTCTAGATCTTGAAAATATTGATGTTACCATCAGTGATGAATATCAAATGTTGTTATTGTTGTGTTTTTTACCTAAGCCGCATGCTCACTTCAAAGAAACCCTCTTGTATGGAAGATAGTCTATGACCTTTAAAGAAGTTTAAGCAGCCTTGTATTCGAAGGATTTGAACGAAAGAAAGGAGCAGAAACCATCATCATCAGTTGGCGAAGGGTTGTCCGTGAAGGGGAAATCCTCGAAGAGAGATGGTAGGTTTGAAAAGAAGAAAGGTAAAACTCAGCAGAAGTCTTATGGTGGTGATATTTATGGTATTAAGTGTCATCAATGTAAGAAGGAGGGTCACACAAGAAAGGTGTGTTCTGAGCGGCTGAATAATAATGGAGGTAAGGACAATGGCAATGCAACTATTGTGCAAGATGATTATGAACCATCTGATGTCGTTGTGGTGTCGAGCAATAACTCTTGCAAAGACAGGATTATGGATTCAGGATGTACTTGACATATGACTTCAAAAAAGAATGTGTTTGAAGAATTATGTGATCAAGATGGTGAATTGGTGTTGTTGGAAAATAATAAAGCTTGCAAGATTGCAGGTATTGGATTTGTGAGATTCAAGCCCCATGATGAGTCAATAAAGCTATTGACTGATATTATGTATGTACTTGACCTTAACAGGAATTTGATTTCTCTTGGTGAATTCGACAAGAAAGGATATGTCTTCAAACGAGAGCAAGGTATCCTGAAAGTCATGAAGGGGTCGAAGAAAGTCTTAAAAGGCGCGAAGAAACGAGGCTTGTATACCCTTGAGGCTGAGGTTGTAAGTGGTTCAACAGACTTTACATCCACAAAATTGGTGCCGAAGACACAATTATGGCACATGAGATTGGACCATGTCAGCGAAAGAGGCCTGGTCGAACTGGAGAAACAAAACCTACTAGGTGGTGACAAAGTCGAGAAGTTGAAGTTTTGTGAACCTTGTGTATTTGGCAAATTCTATAGGGTGAAGTTTAATAAAGGTAAACAAAGAACACATGGATCCCTTGATTACATTCATGCTGATCTTTGGGAGCCTGCAAGGAATCCTTCACATTCAGGTGCAAGGTATTTTCTAACCATATTTGATGACTATTTTAAAAAATTATGGGTATTCATCCAGAAGACTAAGGATGAAACTTTTGAGAATTTCAAAGTTGGAAGGTTTTGATCGAAACTAAAACTGGTAGAAAGGTCAAGAGGTTGAGAACTGACAATGACCTTGAATTTTGCAAATGAAGTTTTCGACAACTACTGTGTCGAGTCTGAGATTGCAAGGCATAAGACTGTAGCAGGTACTCCTCAACAAAGTGGCTTACTTGAGAGATTCAATCAAACAGTCCTTGAAAGGGTTAGATGCATGTTGGTTAGTGCTGAATTGAAGAAGATGTTTTGGGCGGAGGTTGTTTCGACAATAACTTATCTGATAAACAGATGTCTCTCGACTGCCTTGGGAATGAAGACACCTGAAGAAGTTTGGTCGGGTCAACCACCAGATCTCAACAAAAACTGAGAGTATTTGGCTGTTTAGCCTATGCTCACATTAGGTAAGACAAGGTCAAACCTAGAGCTCTGAGATGCATGTTCCTTGGATATCATGAGAGAGTCAAAGGTTATAGGTTGTGATTCCTAGAACCAGGTCATAGAAGATGTATCATAAATTGTGATGTAGTTTTTAATGAAGTCGAGATGGCGTTCAAGAAAACTGGTGATGTTGGTCGAAGTGCAGAAATCTCTGAAGTGGAGCTGGAACAGGTAGAGATTCCTGTTGAGATGGGGCATACTGATGCTGAAGTGCATAACCCAGATGATGTCGAAGAAGAAGAGCAAGATGCTGAAGAGGTTGAGGAAACTGTCAATGACTACCTACTGGCAAGAGATAGGTCGAGAAGAGTCATCAAACCACCTCAAAGACTTAGTTATGCAAATCTTATAGCTTTTGCCTTAATCTCTGCAAATGAGGTACTTGAGGAAGAACCTAGAGATTACAGGAAAGCTACGAGGAGTCGAAATAAGACTGAATGGTAAAAATCTATGGATGACGAGATGAAATTTCTTCATGATAATAACACTTGGGAGATGATTGAGAAACCTCAGGAGCCATGTTAGTCATTTGTAAGTGGATTTTCAAGGTCAAGAAAGGAATTGAAAAAGTGACGTTGAAGCGTTTTAAGGCAAGGTTGATTGCTAGGGGGGTCAGTCAGAAAGAAGGTGTCGACTTTATGATGTGTTCTCACCTATTGTAAAGCATAGATCCATAAGAAAGTTATTAGCCATGATGGCGAAGTTCAACCTAGAACTTGAACAAATGGATATGAAGACAGTCTTCCTGTATGGTGATCTAGATGAAACAATCATGATCTGATAACTTGGAGGATATGCAGAAAAGGATAAGGAAGATTATGTGTGCAAGTTGAATAGGTATTTGTATGACCTGAGGCAATCTCCTAGACAGTGGAACAGGAGATTCAACAAGTTCATGATACACATTGGTTTCACTAGGAGCCAATTCGATCACTGTGTTTACTTCAAATTTCGACCTAGAAACTCACTTGTTATTTTGTTGCTTTATATGGATGATATCCTCATATCTAGCAACAGTGTCAAGGATGTAATGGAGGTGAAGGTTGAACTCAGTAAGGAGTTCAAAATGGATATGGGAGCTGCCACCAAGATTCTTGGGATTCACATCCAGAGAGATAGAAAGCATTCGAAATTATGCTTATCTCAAGAGGCATACCTGCGGAAGGTTCTCGACAAGTTTGATATATCGAATTCAAAGCATGTTGTGACTCCGACAAATCTTTAGTTTAAACTTAGTACTACTCAAATTCTGAGTGCCGAAGTTGAAAGAATCTATACGAGTAGTGTAATACCCCAAATTTTGCCCTAAGATTTGTTGTCGCATTTCATTGCATTTTTATTGCATTTAATCAATTACTAACAAATTTGTGTAGTCGTTTGACTTTTTGCAGGTAAATATCATATGACATGCATTTTTTTTCTAAAATGTAAAAATGGCACAATTGGCAAGAGGACATGTGTAAGGAGTTGTGAGTGTGAGAGGTTGAGAGTTCGAATCTCACCTTAGTCACTTTTTGTTTTTTATCATTTTTACTCTAAATGTTTCTATCTCTCATTAAAAAATAACAAAAATAGTTTTTTATTATTATTTAATTATTATTTTCGTATTTTAATTAAATCATTTTTTAAAATATCATTTTTTCACTCTTTTCTAAATTATTCATAAAAATATCCAAAAAATCATAAAATAAAAAATATTGAAAAAAATTTTGTTCTTTTTATAATATTTTTGATTTTAGGAATCAATAGGATTATTAGTTTTTATTTTAAGTTTATTTTAATTATTTTAAATTATTTAAATTTTATTTTTTTTCTTAACTAATTATTTAGTTTGGGCTTTAAAATGGGCTTTAGGGACATTATTGACAATTTGGTGTTAACCCTAATTTGTTCCCTATATATACATGTGTTGCTTTGTTGAAAAAAGGGGAGAATGAAAAAACCTAAGAGGAGTGAGTGTCGTTTACCGTTATTTCTTTTTCTTCATCTATTACTGTTGTTTCTTTTTCTTCATCGTTTACCGTTATTTCTTTTCCTTCATCTATTACTGTTGTTTCTTTTTCTTCATCTTTTACCGTTATTTCTTTTTTTTCATCTATTACCGTTATTTCTTTTTCTTTATCTATTACTGTTACGTTTATATATTTATAATTTTTAAATTGTTAGAGTTTATATATATATAAGATTAATTTTTGATCGAATTATATCGATACGATGTTTGCACATTTGTGTGC